ATTTATAAAAGTATAAAATTTTAATTATATAATATATAATTATATAAAGTGTAAAATTTATTGATAAATATAAATATTCATGACATTTGTTTCTTTATATATATTATGTTTTTGTCAATGTTATAAAATCATAATTATATAATTCTATTAAAATATAAAATTTGTTGATAAATAATATTTGTCATTTTTAATTTAAGAATGTAAATTTTTTATTTAAAAATATCATTTATCTTGTAAAAAATATTTGGCATTATTTAATCTAAAACAGGTTATATTTCTCATATGGTTCTTTTAATACTCGAAAAATAGTCTGAGTTAATAGGAGAATATATTTTGCGAAGAGGTAGTAGGTAGTAGTGAATATATTTTGCAAAGAGGTCGTTATTAGAAGAATATATTGCGAAGAGGTATGTCAACAAAATGACGGTCGGTAAATTATCAACGTCGGTAAGTTACCATCGTAATTACCGACACTCAATTTTAACTTTACCTCTTTGCAAATATATTCTCCTAATAACGACCTCTTTGCAAAATATATTCTCCTGTTAACTCAAAATAATTTTCCGGACATTTTAAGACATATTTTGCTGCATTACTATCTACTATCGCTTCGCAATAAATATATTCTCCTATTTAACTCAGATAAATTTTCGGACTATTAAGACATTACTGCACTATCGCCACTATCTTTTTGCAAAATATATATTCTCCTATTAATTCAGATGATTTTTCGAGTGTATTAAAATACACATATTTAGCTTATATCTTCGCAAAATATAATCTACCAAACACAAGTGTGCGCCATTGTCCAATTTCCATTTTCTTTTAAATGGATGAGGATGGAGAATTAGGAGTCGATAAAATTAAAGAAAAAATACAAAATTTTGTACTAACAGTTTTTTTACTACCATTAATGCAATTAGCAAATACTGTTACAATATATCATATTATGTAGGAATGGTGAACGATTTTCATTTGTGTAAATGTTTCTTCGCTCGCTATTATAATATAACTATATATATTTATATTTTTTATACGATTAATAGAGCTATAAGTGGTTAATACTATTGTCTATTTAATATAGCCTCCGTTTTCACGAAAAATTCGTTCGTGCAATTTTAATTTTATAACAAAAGATTTTTTAATATTAAATTCGCGAACACACGAACGGGTATATGTTTCTGGCAGTGAAATCCATCTCTCAATGCAAAATGTAGAAAAAGGTATCAAAGTCACGCAAACACAAATTTGTCTCTGTTCAATTTGTTAGTCGTAAAATGCAAAATACGCCTGTATTAAATTTAACAACATACGATTTATAAAAGTTAAACAAGTCTAACGTATCGCATAAGTAAAATACTGTGATTATTAATATTCTCGATGTTGAAACTTCATCGCGCCATAGTAAATAATCAACTGCGAATAATATAATACGGTATATTGTCAGCAATACACGCGTATTACTCGTTAAATTTATTTAACTTTGCAATCCTTGTTCTCTTTTGTCGCAAATTGATTTTGCACAATTAATATTTCGGTATCGAATACACTTTACGAATTACATTTTACATAGATAAATTTGTATTAGCTTATCATATAATAATTTTTGATATTCTTTTTTTTAAATATAATTTGTATCGAATTAGCGAACAACATTCATTTCATCAGCCTCTTTCGTATAAAGTCGCGATTTGCGAATAGTCCAAAATATCAACTTAATACTACTTATACTGGCGACTTACTATGTATATGCATTACGTCTAATTCATATCATCGCGTGTTACATAATTAAACAATATCTACTTTGAATAAATTACTTTAAGGCTACTTTCTTAGCTCGTCATCGATTATCATAATTTATTCGAGAAACTATCGTCAGTACTCTTCGAACAGATTTAACATATAAATATATAAGTTATTAATAATCGTGCAATTACACATGGCTAATATTAACATCGAAGTAATACTTGTTGCCTTGTTGGTGTTTTGTGCTGAAAAGAAGAGTCATATCAAAATTGATTATTTTACTCATTTAAACAAAAGTTTTTTTTAATAGTTTAGTTTTAATATTTCTCCAATTTTATTTTCAAAGAAAAAAAATTAAAAAAATTTTACAAATTGAGTATCGATTGATTCTCGCACACATACGAGAATGCAAGAATTATCATCTGATATAGATGTTTCTATCAAAATTAGATAATAATTTGGCCATAATTTGGCCAAAATAATTTGGCCAGATTGTTCCGTACATTTAATTATGTTAATTCTCACTAGGACGCTTTTCTTATTGAGGACGAATGTATAATATTAGTAATAACTTATGCATTATGCTAAAGATTCGACATCTACAGTATTTTAGAGTTTTGGTTTAATACCAAAGTCAATTACACATAGTAATATACATATAATACTAATTATAATATTATAAAATAATAATAATACATGTTAATAAACCAATAATAACAATGTGATAATAATAATAATAATAATAAGAAGAATGTTATCTACAAGAGTGCAATACAGATGACGAATTATGAATGTCATTATGTATGTGACGATCGTATTATAAATATTATACATCATCGATTTACATCGATAAATATAGCAGCTCTTTAAATTATTGCGTTGATTACGACGTAACAAAACATAACAAAAGAACAGTGTTTTTTTATCTGCAATAGTATTTATAAACTTTTCAGACAATCGTTGTGCGTTGCGAAATGTGTCATTCTTTCGTTATGGATTATTCGGCGCAATTAAACGTCGTTTCTAATACATCGTTGTTGCATGGGTATAATACGCTAATTATACGCGGATTTTGCACACGCACGTACTGTCACGCAATTAATTAATCGCCTCTCGCGATGGACACATACACATGCATCTCGTATACACACAATTATTGTAATAACGTCGCCGCAGTCTAGCTTCTTCCTACGCTTAATTTTTCACGAACGGAATTGCAGAAGATTAATTTCCAATTTACTATCACGCGAACGGCAATTAATCAGTCAGATTCCTTAATGAAGACATGAGAGAAGAATCTGTCGAGCAGCGACGTTATTTCACATACAGTCATACTTGCTACAAAAAGGAACTAACGAGGTTTCCGGAACGACCTGATTCTGATCACGAATAATTCAATCGTGAAAGCACATTATTCTGTTATTGCAATTTTTTTGCAAAAGACAATATATCTGTAGAGTATGATTTGGAATTAAAATCCGTGAAAACATTTTCCTTATGAAAATATTCTTATAAAAGAATAAGAAAGATGATTATTAAAGTTCAATATTCTAGATTAAATATGTTGGTTACACATCAAAAGTTTAAATTCTGTTAAATATTATTAGAAAATTAAAATTATGTAGCCTAATTTTATTTTTTAATTTTTTTCTGTAGCTTTTTTACTTTCATAAAGATTCTTTTCGTTTAAAGACGAAATTGTTTTTAATGTTTCATGTATTAATTGCAAATCACTTTTGTGGATGTTTCGTATAGTTTAGGAAACTGTGATGCTAAAGACACTTTAATTGTACAAACTTTTCCTTCTTGTAATGAATAAATAATTACTTAAAATAATTACTTAAAAGTAAGACGAATCATTCTAAATTCAGAGATCAAGTCATCCCGATTGGATAATGTGAGTGCGCTTTTCAGTCTCTTCCTAGATGCACTTAAAACACTGACTTTCCTAATTTCTAATTCTTAAACGCGTTAATCAAAAATCAAACGTCAATCTATTACAATCTCGTACAAAAGCTCGAAAACTCGGACGAGGTTTCAGGTAATTCTATCTTCGATTATATAGAACTATCTATATATGTATATATTGGTTTCTCTCTCTGACGACGACAATCACAATTCAATGCGATTAAAAAGCGTCATTGTTCTTCGTTATATGTATTATGTTGCGAAGTAAAATGCATTGTCTTGATGTGTATGCAACACGATCCTGAATACATCTTTGTGCTATATTTGTCCAGAAATAAACGAAACATAGTTGAAAACTGTATCCTTTCTCGATCACGTAATAAAAAAAATCCATCACGTACAAATAGCTTGTATATATCTTGCATTAATAAATGCTAATTTGAGGCGGATAAAGAACAGCGATAAAATTGTCGTAAGGAGTTATTAATCCTTTAGTTGTAAACACCATATATATATACTTATACGTATATATGAGCAATTAAAACTCGTAATCAGTCAAGACTCTTCGCGCTATTAATTTGACATTTATATTATTTCATTTCATTAACGTGGAAATGATAAATCGTATTAAGAGATATTCTATAATTGTGTGTAGCACATTTGCATTTCAAATTTGATACTTTGAGAAAGCAGGTGCACATGTCGCAGTTGAAGAGTCAAATTCGCACGAAGGAAAGTGAAGGAACCGAGACGAGAGTATTCAACTTCGTCGTCATTTGGTTCCTCTTTGTATACAATTCGGTGTGTCGAACACCGCATTTGGAAGGCATTTCAGAAGGCATTAAATTCCTAGTGTGTATTGTCACGAGTTGACATCGATTATATGCCTTGACCTACCTACCTACGCGTGATTTCGTACGATATTTATCAGAAGCCCCGTGAAACCGACATAGCAATCAGAATTTCATTTTAAAAACGCGTTTATAATTAACGAATAATCGTTGCCTCCCGCGAGGAGGACACGTTTGGTCTTTTGTTAAAAATCGTATAGCAAGGGTCGATTATTCGTTGTACTATCATAATACTTTCGCAATACTGAGAAGAAAATTTCCAAGAGAGAGAGTGGCAGTTGCGGCTAGTATATCCTGATTAGTCTCATATACTTTCAATATAGTATGTATGTCTGGCAGTATAACTTTTCGCGGGAATTGCTCTAGAATTTCCTTCCGCGAAGGTCTTCCTCGTCCTCAGCACATCTGCTTTCTTTGCGTCAAAAATTAAATGGAGAATATTTGTATAAAAGAAATCAAACTGCTTCAAAACTAAGAAAACAAAATTCAAAATTCTTTTTTAAAAACAAAGAAAATTTTTATATATATATATAATATTTTATGTCATAAACAATTTCATTTCAATTCAAAAATTGTCGCGCTTGATTCCTTTTATATAAAAATGATTCGATAAACAAATGTTGGACGATCCAACTTCGAACGATCGCATAAACGGATTATTCATGCGCGAAGCAACGCACACATCGATAAATTGTGTGTATGCGAATTGTTCGCTAAACCTTTTTATATGCATCTCACGTAGCACGCAATGCAATGGAGCTTTTTTACATGCGGTACCAACTGTCCGCAGCTGATCAGTGATAAATTGTAGCTCGAAAGCTACAATGTGCGTGTATGTATGTATATGTGTATGCGTGTTACATGTTAATGTCAGCTAGTGACCGTCCTCTCGAATCGGCTAACGACGCCGATGTAAATTTATGCTAAAGAAAACGGAAAAACGATTGCTTCCAAATTCGATAACATCCGATGAATAATAAAAGCAGGAAGACTCGGAAGGAAATTCATGATGAACCCCGATCGTCCTTTGATAATACGAGGTAATGAATGCGAGCAGGCGAGATTGTTCGCCGTTTCGTTTCAAATTTTCGTCTCGAGAGAACAATTATTACTAACAATAAATAAAAAAAAGAAATTGCATTCTGGATGCTCTATCTCATTAGACGTTAATATTTTATGCTGTAATGTTATGGCAGATGTAATATTTCTCTCATTACAATCAAAATTGTGTTTTCGATACTTTTTATAATAAATGGTAGATTATACATGGTATAAATTGTGTAATCGGTATAAAGTATAAAAGATTTATAGAGAGATTTTCACAAAAATTATCTGCCGCAAAATTGCGAAATAATTTTAGAACGCAAAATTGTCTATATACGTGGCGTAGTGTAATTTTCATTTTCGAGCGAGCGGCGACAATGACACTCTATTGTATCGTCTATTATTAAAAGTGATTAATCTTGCGGAGATACTTGCGCCCGTCGTGTGGGCCGATATTATTAATATCAATGAATATCGTTGTCCGGTGAGGAAAAAATATTAACTCGCCTCGATCATAAATCAACGCATTGTTTCAGGCCATTACCGAGGTCCGAAGAGTGCGCGTCATTGTCTGTTTAGCCGCGTATCGCTATTAAACTTTGATTTATGAGTGATTTGTATCACAATTGATTTTCGAAGCTGCGTGGAGTTGGACGTTTCGCGGCGTTTCCTAAATCGCTAAGCAATCATTCACGAATTAGAAATACAAATCTGAAACATTTCGTATTAGATGGACAAAAAGATATTTCTAGATATCTGTGCATTAATGTCGGAATTTCAATCATTTTACACTTTTTCGTGATATATTAATTATACAGACATACCTATATAATGTCTTGTTGCGAATATAGGTACTTTCAGTGCGCGGAAAAGTTGCGTTGGCTATAGATAAAAATATTATAATTCAAAAAACTTCACGTGTAAAGTTGAAATATCTTTCTGCACTATTTTTTAGTTCTCAATACTATATATCTCATTTGTTCGAAAATTTGCACTATCTATCACGAGATCAATGATATCATGTTCCAAAGAGTCGCTTCTAATTGCGATACCCATACAATGAGTAATTGCTTACGTCAGAAAAGATGGATCGCGTGGTGTGTTCCGTCAGCACCAAAACAGGAATAGACAATTAACGTTCTCGATCTTTCGTCAGCGAAATTTCGTGATCTATCTTTGTCAGGGCAAGTGTGTTATACAGTTTTCTCAAATTCAGTGATTAAGGCGAACCGTATCGCCGCTCGTTTTGTACAATCTGATAATTATGTGTGGTTAAATCCTGGTCAAACAAAACAATCTAGACACTTAGCGAGATTTCAGATAATTACAGTACATTGCCGATTTTCCAATTGTATTTCATTCGGCAAGTCATGTTGTAAATGAAAAATTAAAATGACTGCGTATTCATCGAATAGTCCGTGTGTGACAGGAAGATTTGAAGTAATTTTATCTCATACATGTCATTTTTAATACTCTCTCTCTCTATAATTAAAATTAAATAACGATCTCAAAAATGTTGTATCTTCATGTCCATGCAGCAAAATTTTTACGACTAGATAGGGGAGAGAAAATTCGCGTAATTTCTCCCCCTTCCTTTATTATATTATTTGATTGCGCAAAATATACGTTATCGCGTTTTGCAAGAAAACTCAAATATGAAAGTTCTAAATACCTATACTTGAAACGCATTCAACTGACTATTTCTCTATCTTCAGGTATCCTTTAGAGATCATGCGGACTTCCTGCGGATTTGTCTATTGTCAGAAAAATGTCGATACTTCCAGCGGGATTTAAACTTTACAGGTCAACAGACCTGTGACGCAAGACAATTCTTTTACTAAATCGATTCTGCAGAAATATTCTCCGATCGATTACGGCCCGAAATAAAGATCTTTCCGGTGGTTCCGCGTGATGTCTCGCTCGCGAAAAAGAAAGCCTACGTCACTTATCACGCTTTTGCTCATAAACGTGAGATGTTAACCATACCATATATATTCTCAAGGACTTCGCATCAATTTTAAATTAACGTGACAATTCGTGTCATTCGATTGTGTGTATGTGCGAACATGTGTAAACGACTTTCGACAAAAGGATGGAAAAATTCTTTCCGCGAAAGGAAACCACTTTAACAGATGGTCTCCAATGGCGCAATCTTGGTGCTCGGATTCTGGGTAACGCTGTCGCCCATGCTGGGCATCCCGTGACTAGTCGTGCTGTGCCCGTTACCCTGCCGTCCGGCGTTCGTCTGTGGATTTCTGCTGAAGAGTCTCTTGAGCGCCGCTCTGACTTGCGGCTGGCAACCGACCGCCACGAAAATCAGCACCCCTTGGAAGGCGTTTATCAAGTCGGTGAAGTACCAGATGTACAGAGGCCCGCCGACAGCCCATGAGATCACGTCCGCCACCCAGGTAACACCCATTACGATCACCAGTTTCATGCATATGCGGCCCAGCGTCGCTCTAAAAGCAAAGAAAGAGCTGTAAAACTCGAATATATAATACAAATATAGAAATTTAAGTATAAATATAATTGCACAGAGATCATTTTTTCTTAGAATTTACCCTCAAGATCATAATAATCGTTGGAAAATATGGTATTAGAAGAATCCTAGAAGAATAATATCTATCACAATAAGATATAAAATATGTATATGTTTGATTAATTTTACTATATATATGTACATAGTAAAAATAATTAAACAAATTGTATATCTTATTGTGGTAGATATTATTCTTCTAGAATTCTTCCAACACTATTTTTCCCCACGATTATCACGAATTTCAGAGTAAATTCTAAGAAAAAAATGTGTGACAAGAATGTTTTAAAGTAAAGAATACGTTTCGAGGTAGCCTGTGTACCTTCCAAGAACCTTATCGTTAAAAGATAACGATGATACAACAACAATGATAATCGAGTGTCATATGGAGACGTATTGTACACCTCGTGTGTAATTTCAACCGAGGCGATATCGGTTAACCTTCACATGTGAACCACAGGAGAGGCCGCAGGCGTGAAAGATCATGAGCGAAATTGATTGTAACTCGGTTGGCGCATTTCGCTATTGTTTACATTACGTTATCGTTTTGTGTCGACGACGTTAAATACGATCCTGCGAGAAATTATTCAACGCGCTTCGCAACTGGGACTCACCCTGATGGTTAATGAAACAATCGTATACGCTTTACACGTGACGTGTGTAATAAATGTAAACAGTAGTTCGCGATTAATTGACATTGTTTATATGTTCGATATAAACGAGACACGTCTCGTTACGAATACTAAATTTAATTATGGCGTTTCTGTCATTAATGATATTAGCTTTTCGAGGTCTGTGTTTTTCTTTCACAAGTCACACGGAAAAAAATATTAGTTACGATAGTTTAATTTTAGGTCTCTTCATACATCTGGAATTTATTTGCCATGCTTAAATTTTAATTATGGTAAACTAATATTTCAAAAATAAAAATACTAAATTAATTGTATGATTTAGTTATATCAAAATATATCGAAATATATTAATTTTATCTCATGTAATTGATAGTTAAATAGAGGGGAAAAGAGATAGTAAGAGCCAGTATATATATTAAAATAATGTAATAATGTGAAATTAAACTTGAAAATAATATTTTTAAACTATTTTAATAGGAAATTCCCTGTTAAACTATTAATTACCATAGAGCTAAAATTTAGACATAATAATTAAATTTCGGGTACAATATAGGATTACCTAAAATTTAGTTATAATTAATAGTTTTTCCTGTGCATAAAGTAGAGATCAATTCACTCCACGATATTCATATCGAAGGGCGTAGCGTAAAAGATACTTGACGATTAAAATTTGTAGTAAATTTTGCTGTAAAATATAATACGAATAATTCTCTCCGTGTATAGCTATCTCTACGTTACATCTGGAATTTACTTAGCATGCCCAAACTATAATTATGGCGACTAATATTTTTAAAATCAAAGCACTAAATTAATTAAATCAAAATATTAATATAATATTGAATATTTTTTTCACGCACAAAATAAAGATCTCCACGATATTCATATATTGAAGAAGAGCATAAAAGATACTTGACGAGTTCGCGATTCCTCACGACAGAAAATTTCGCTGAAATCATTATTATCATTAGGTACGCATAGCGGACACGAAGAGTATAGACGCGAGTATCTCGCGAGCGAACACGCGCATTCGCGCGGAATCGATTCGCCATGCGGTCCGCATCGCGTATAATATATGCGGGGCCTCGAAGTCAAAGGATTATTAATGCGCCCCGTCAGAATATTCGCAGGCCGTAACGCAGCGCGGGCCAGAGAATATAGGGACATATCGCAGAATTATGGCGTCATAATGTCGCTCCGCCCGTCCGACTGGCCCCGGTTATATCCTGGCCGCGCGCAACATCACCGCACCGAGAGGATTCTATTTTCGTTGGCGTTGCTAATTATTATGAACGCAGCGGCACGGTCGCGAATCCCAGAAGAGGAAACTCCAAAGGGGAAATGCGCGGGTGCCGCGAATGAGCGGGCTGAAAATAACGTCGAGACTCGGAGAGAGGAAGGAAATGAGAGGACGATGATGATTTGAAAATTTCATTTGTGTCGAATTCTTTAGCGTAGCACCAGCAAGTTGGCGAACAGACAACATTTTTTTTGTCTATTATTTTCGTCCCAATTATATACGAGACGTTTTATTACTTCTATCTAAGGTAGCGTAAAGTAATAAAGATATCATAAATGAAACACTGAAAAGTTTTAATCGTCTCTTAAAGACCCTCTCTGGCGTTATTGCTCTTAAGCGTAGTATATACAAGCGAATATATATATATATATAACGTTTTATAGTTACAGCTTTAAATAGTCGTTTGAGAAATTTTTCCGCTCGAGGGTATTTTCGTATTAATTTAAACGCGAAATACACAAGAGTTACAATCGTAACGCAATTGAAGATATTTTGCATATTTTGCTCTTCGCGATACGAAACGCAACTCTGTCGAGAGATCTTCTTCCTCTGAACGAGGTAATGTTGCGTTCATGTCAGAGGTTTCGTTTCGCAGAAATACACCATACACGAGATACTCACTCTCTTTATCCTCCGTCATACATTCAAACAAGAATTTTACAAAATCGCGAACAGACGGAGAATAAGCGAAAAGGATTTCGAAACGTTGCTGAACGATACGATCGATCATGATGGCTGTCGTGCGTGGAACAAAGCACGGCCGGAAGTGGGATGTACCCGATCGGAATGTGTGTGCGGATGCAGAAAAGCACGGGGGTATCGAGCACGGTCAATATTATGAGCCCGACGAGCAACAATAACCAGAAAAATTCTACTGGGATGGAGAAAGGAAGAAAGGAGGACGAGGAGAGATCGAATGGTCCATATATGAGAGAGAGAGAATCAGCTCCGTAAATATCGAATCTCGCTCTATGCGACACTCTACGGAAACGCCCTGGTTTGAGTGTGTTGTAACGTGAGACAATAAGGTAAAGAAATGGGAGAATAAATGAAAGAGCGAGAAAAGGAAACGCGAGAATTTTCAGGAAAGGCAGCTGCCTTTTCTGCACAAAGGACTCTGAAGAAAGATGTCCATTATCGGGGATCGAGAAAACAGGAAAAGGAAACGCGCGATAATCGAGTGCGCCTTTTTGATTTTATAGCGCAATTTCTATCGTCGATCAAATAGATCAAATGAAGTCGTTATAGGGCGCACGTTTCTCTCTCTCTCTGTACTCCTCGAGAAAAATATACACAGAGAGAACTTTCTCTTAGAATATATACCCTGAAAATCATGGTAATCTAAGACAATATAATATTGAAAGAATTTTATAAGAGTTTCTCTAATTAATATTTACCACAACAAAAAATATTAATATCTATCACAATAAGATATAAAATATGTTCGATTAATTTTACTATGTACATATTAATATTTTTTATTGTGGTAAATATTAATCAGAGAAACTCTTATAAGATTCTTCCAATATCATATTCTATTATCCCACGATTACCCTGACTTTCAAGGTAAATTCTAAGAGAAACTGCACATTAATTATTTGTAACTAATAACAAGATATAGCAACACAAAATACGCGATAAACTGTCAAGAGAATAAAATCATGAAATTCTACGCTAAAATAAATCGATGAATGAAATAAATCAACGAGACATAATTGTTGAAATTTCACATTTTCACGTAGCATGGCTTCAATAAAATCTTCAATGAGGAAAAACCAGATTCCTCATCAATTATTATCTTGTTTAATCGACAGAGCGAGTGATTGATATCGGACGAGTCTCGTACAGAGGTAGAAAGAGAGACGAGCTAAATTTGAAGATGAAAGCGACGACGACACGGATGAAAAACGATCTGAAATAGACAGCCGTGAGCATTTATATGCGAGCGTTTATTCGTGGTTGCAAATAAATGTCAATCTTTGCGGGTGGCAAGAATGGCGGAAGGTCTGCGAACTCGACGACGGAGTTAATTGACATGAGTAGACGCGGCGGAGAGAGATTTGCGCGATGATGACTGGGAAATATCAAATACGGCCCAGGAAAGGGGGTCGACGACTTCGGGGTAAAATTTTAAACACATCGCGGTAGTGCTTGTTTACTCGTCGTCACACAGACGGCTTTCGAAGTTTCTTGACGTTCGTGCAGTTAATCATTCATAAAGCATGCAGTGTATTTTTAAACATGCAACAGACGACCGAGTTTACAACCGATGCGCGTAATAAACAGAATTCAATCATTGAACCATTTTTTTAAATTTGTTACACAAACGTCTATCCTTCTTAAAATCGTCGCGAGCCGTTGTTATCGCAAGCAGAAACTTTAAATATACACGAATGGAACTTTCCCTTGGAATTTACGCTGAAAATCATGGTAATCGTGGGACAACGTGATATTGGAAGAATTTTTTAAAGTTTCTCTGATAAATATTTAGTACAATAAAAATATTATGTACATACACTGAAACAAAAATTAATAATTTAATAAATATTTATTTCAATACTGCCTAACAAATCATGCCTAAATATTGTATTTGAAGTAAATGAATATTGTTCACATCAAAAATCAATATGTTAGTTTCAAATAAATGATTTATTAGGCAGTATTGAAATCAATTTTTATTCGAATTCAATAAATTTTTTTTCAATGTAGTAAATTTTACTGTCTACATATATTTTATTGTGGTAACAATATTAATCAAAGAAACTCTTATAAAATTCCAATACCATATATTGTTCCACAATTTACTATATGATTCTAAGAAAACATTCTATCTGTGTAAGGGGAATACTAAAACATGGAAGAGCAAGGCGAGATAAATACGGGCAAAAGATAAATACTACAAGTTATGGAAAAAGTCTCAGCTACAATTGCGATATAAAAGTGCACTAAAGTCTTGTTAACGGATGCATTCGCACTTGTATATATATATATATATATATATATATATATATATATCTCGCTAGCGAGCGGTTGAACGAGATTCTCGGTACTTTCTTGTCTTGTAGGAGACACATATCACGGGGAAGACATAAAGGTACGGGATATATATAACGTGAGAATCCTTCTTTCCGCAATTTAGGTGCCAGGAAGATATCGCGCACGGAGGACTATATAAGTATATTTATACGATTCCTTCTCTACGCAAAAGGCAGAGATTATTCCTCGCGCGGTCGCGCAGTAACAAAAATACTGTCGCACGTTCCCGGACGTGTGAAATATTTTTTTGCCCGGCGAATCCCGCTATACCGCGACGCTATCTCGGCAGAAACGAGACGAAACCGAGGAAACACAGATCTCCACTTTGCGCGACCGCTGAAAAGGGGAAGAGCGCGCGACACGAAAGTGCACCGGGTTGGATCCGCACGTAGCCCGGATGGTTATTGCGAAGTGTTTCACCGCGAGTGTGTTTATGCCACTTTCCCGCGTCCGCCTTTTTCTAGGACTGAGGATAATTCAAGCCGGCTATTCCTCTCCCTCGGACAAATCGGACGTGATGATCGTACGTTATTTGGCACCGTGTGGAATTCTTCGTGGCCGGTCGCGGAACGTTTTGAAAGAGGATTTCCGCTCGTAAGAGTCTCTCCTCGCAAAATTATGTGATATTATTTTGACTTAAAGAGAACTGCTGCTTCAAGTTTTTGTACTAATTTAACGCTTCCTAAAAAATGTTTGTCATAATTATTTTTGATTTTATTTACTCGAACAGACAAACGTTCATAAATCGACTTCCTGATCGTACTTACGTGCTTTGATTTTGCCACATGTATTCGCTAAATTGCAGTGTACCTGAATATTTAAAACTGGAATATAATAAAATACAACTAAAAAGAAATAAATCTGAAGATGATTTAGTTCTGGCGTATTTTAGCGAATAGTCGTCCGAGTAATATTATAATGTCTCATAATAAAAATAGCATTATTAATGCATAATATTCGGAAGTTCTCGCAGGGTAATTTATCCACGTCGAGATGTTCCGGAAACTATGCAAACGTGTGTGATGAACGAAATCCGCGGCGAAGGTATAGAACAAACTCGGGATGAGGCGAAATCTGCATATGCTATTACGTTTCCTTTGCCAACAATGGCCGTATTGTGTTCGCGTACATACATCACGATGGGCAAATAGCGTCGTCGAAATCGCGAATTGGGATCGTCAATATCAATCTCGAATAGAGCGAGAGGATGTAAGCGGATCGAAGGGACGTCGAGCGAATGGAAAATAACGATTGCCTGATATCAGTCGGCTGGAAGATAATAAAATAAACCTTCTCCTGTGTGCGCGAAGTCTGCGATCTATAAAAAGAATCCTCCGTTCGCTCATATATAGATCCCCGGAAAATACAAAGTGTCAAATATCTATCTACCTCGTAGAACGAAAAAGCAGGAAGTATTATATCTATATTTTTGCATATATATATATTTCATCATTTCGCAAAATATAAAATATCTTTACACTTTTTCATTCAAACTACACGGAAAGAATTTTTTAGAATTTATCCTGAAAATTATGGTAATCGTGAGACATTATGGTATTGGAAGAGAATTTTATAAAAGTTTCTCTAATTAATTAACATTTACCACGAATAAAAAATATTAATATCTACCACAATAAGATAAAAAATATGTTCGAGTTAAATCTGTACATACAGTAAAATTTCCTATATTTTTTATTGTGGTAAATATTAATCAGAGAAACTCTTACAAAATTCTTCCAATACCATATTGTCCTACGATTTTCAGAATAAATTCTAAGAGAAAATTCTCTTCGTGTAGGAATTTCATGAATCAGATATCTTGAATAAAGTTAAAAATAAAAATCTATTAGTTTCCTGAAAGCTAGATAAAAGAATTTATATAAGTTGTTATTTAAATAATTATAAGTTAATATCTCAAATTATGTATTTCAAAATAGAAAAAATGCTTTGATCGCTCGAGAGACCTTGATTTGACGTATCCTTTCGCGCAATTATCCTCGCACCACCGGTTATCCTTGAACCGACGAAGCTAGGCACCGTCCTTCGGTGTCCAAAATAAAGTATTTCGCATTCCCGCGAAAAACGCGGATCGGGCATTTTGCCTGGGCCAATAAAATTTGGTCGTTTTCACAAGCCGAAAGTGTCGTTTCGTACGAAACGATCGGGCGTTCCTGTTTCTCGGCGGTCGTGCAACGCCGCGTTTATTATCGTTTGCTCCGAGACGCAGTCCGGAAATGGGCCCCTAAACGCAGTTGTTGGCACAATTCCGAAATATATTCCTAGAAGAAATATCGCGCGAGAGGGATATCGATTCGCGTTTTGTCGTCTTTCTGCAAGGCAAATAATCGGGAGGGATTTTTGCGCGATTCGTTCGTCCGGAAAATTACGAAATAATCTTTTCCCCGTTTGCGTTGTAAAACGTGAACGTTGATGTAACAACCTTCCGGCGTTATATATGCTTTTTTCAATTCCCACTCTTTTTGTGTGTGTATGTGTGTGTGCTTTCGCTGTTTTTTAAACTCTAATAATATAAAAGTACTTTTTCATACACGTTCTGTCTATGCAAGAGACACATTTTTTACATCAAACGCATATTGTGCACTTAACGAAAGAAATATCGCAGGAAAAATTTTGCACGTTTAATAATACCAAATATCGCATTTTCAAACAACCATCCGATGATTTATATCATAAAATTTCGCTTCCTGTGTTTGTCATATATATAAAATATCATCATTTTATATATATTGTCACGCTTCTTTAATCTTTTAATGGATCAACCAATTGAACGTCAATTGCATTCGATTAATCGGACTCGGATTGAGCGATTCAGTCGGACACACAAAGATAAGATTCTACAGTATGAATTTATCTCGCGCAACAAGGTCACGATTTTTTCTTCCAAAAATGCGAGGAAAATATCCTAAACTTTACGATCGGTCGTAAATATTTGCGCGAGACAAAAGGCTGATGTTTTGCGAGACGAGTGTGCGATATGTGTTTATGAATCTTTTGATCTGCCGGGAAAACGTTTAGGAGGGATAAAGGTTATTGTTTTTACTGGCAAAGATAGACCATATTCGCCAATTCTCAAGGTTGGCGAACGCCTCGGGACGACGCTATACTACTGAATTTAGGAGGCTATCAGCTGGTTGCTCCGTTTAGCTGCTGCGCGAGTAATCCAATCAAACGATCCTTTGTTAATCCACCGATGAATTGACTAGCCCTGAATACTCGCGTACGTGTACTTGGCAGATTAGTCGAAGATATACTACTCGATGGAGTACAATTAAACTCCTGCGTTCTTGACTTCGACATCGAGATGCGAGCATGTGCGTGTTTATTTTCTTTACCTCGAGCATCATTTTTTAATGGAGTGAATTATATTCATTTTTATTTGGCAACAGAAACAGAAGCGTACATTGGAAACTATAATATATCGCGAAAGCATTATTGTGCGAGAAAAAAATTAATGTTTCGTTGCAGAAAAAAATATTTAATATGAACAAAACTCTTTGTATAACGCGAAGAGTAGTTAGATATTTACAAGAGCAAAATGTTATTATTTCGTTAATATTTGATAAACAATTTTTCAGATATTTATGAATAGATTAGGCATATAAGAGTTCGTTTGACACACAATTGAAACGTTATAAATTATTTTCATGGAATCTGTCAAAGTCTTACTTGTAAATGTCGAGCAAGATATATTACGCCGTTTCCTTTTTCTTTAATGCGCGGTAAAGAAAGTATTTGCTTACCTTTCGGTGGTGCTTTTTACGAATTCGCCTTTCCAGAGACCACACGTCAATTCACGGGCAGTTACGGCGAAAAACAGAAGATTTACAGCCAAGAGCACTCCGACCGGTCCAAAGAAGTACGCCAGAATTTCCATGTCACCTGCAAAACACAAACGGAAATAATTTTAAATTAAAAGAGTCCTATAAAAAATCATGTTGCGTAATTCTATTTTGTATATCTTATAATATGTACAATTATACTCGTGCGTATTTTATATTGCGTCAATTTTTGTATTTAACAAATCCCTCATGCTATTATATATAATTTATTGAATACAGATATCTCTATTATAATCTATTGTAATATCGTTATTATCATCTAATCTCTATTATATATCGTTCTGTTACATATATTCCATTTAATACAATCGAGATTTATTTAATGTTCTAGGAACCATGTTCTCTACGAGGAACAAGCGATTTCTGTTTCAAACTCGCTAACGGCCCATCGACACGAAACGGTCCTTGCACCTGGGTTAATCATATGGTGCCTCTCGTCCGCGAGACGACCTCAACACCGGGTCGATACACCAGAGATTTAAACGGCGCAAATATCCGGATGGTGCGATGGCGTGGCTGTTTCGAGTTTAAACGGCGTTTCAATAATAAACGACGCGATCGGCTAGCAGGTTTATCTTCGCGATGCTTAATTCAGCGTCGTGTACGCTTGGCGAAAACGTTAGTGTCTGCAAAAGCGCGCCGTTGCTTGCACCGGAGAACGCCTACAACAATCTCTGCATACCGGAAATGACGCCGGAAGTAATCTCGATATTTTCATTTCATTGCCAAGTTTCCGCATAATCCAATGTACCAATATAAAAGTTAAATAATTTTTATTTTTGCATTTCTGTAGAATACTTTCTTTTTTTTTATGTATAATATATATATATATATATATATATATATATATATATACTCGTAAAGTTACGAAAGAAAAGTCGACGAAAAGATTTCGGAACGCGATGGATTTTCGTAATGCAACGCGAGCAAAAATAGACGGACGATTTACGATGAGCAAATAAATTGTCCGAGCTTGGCCGACGAAAGGTTTATTTTCTCATTCGCATTATATTGACGCGTCGATTACAACAAAAAGAAAATAGAAGCCGCGAAATGTGTCCCTCGAAAAATCGGCTTTTAAATGTCGCTTCTCTCATTTATTTATGACACTATGACGAAAAAAATCGCGATCGCGAGCGATACTAACTGTTGGGGCGAAACGCTACTTTGTTTTCGTTATCCAATAATATTTGGTAGCCGATAACTTTGCTCCAGCACCATTTTGCACATTTGTCTTCTCTCTCGCGGATAGCGTTGTTTACGCACCACCCCTGTTACATATATATTCCCGAACGATTAAATTTGTTGGCCTCTTCGTTGCAGAGTTCGCACCGTTTGCAAAGACACGTAATTATTCTTCTCCAAAAACTAGCCGCGAAATTAATCTTTCCTGTTTTTTTTTAATTAAAAAATGTCTGGAAATAAATGTCGAAATATATTATAATATTATGATTCCTTTTTACGTGAAATACATAAAATAACAGAAAAATATTTGATATGTAATAAAAGCATCGAAGTGCAATATTTTATCATGAAACTTTTTTGCGAAATTATTTTTGCTCTTTTATTGTACATAAAAATAGTATACATAATAATATATGTTTTGTCGTAAATTTTTTTCGGAATAATATTATTCACACTTATATAAAATTTAAAAACAATAATGCTAAAAGTATATAATTTACAATGCGCTCTTCGAAAATGTGACAACAATATTAATTAATATAATTTTGTCTCTTATATAATTTTCCCGTTCATTCAGTTAGAATTCCGTTATTTTGGGGAAGAAACTGTGTTTCTCACAAGAATGATTGACATTTTCAGTAAAGATTAACGTTTTATTTGATAAATACTGGATGATTTTGGAATACGCGATAAGAATGAAAGCGTAGCTAAATCGAAGGTATAAATATGAAATAAAGATAAAAGGAACACACACAGGATCGGATGTGGTAAACTTTATACGGGGTTATAACGAGGGTATTCCAGGACGATCAGCACGCGACCGCCGTGATTCCGCCGACGAAACTGCGCCCGCTCGGGAAAGGGCGGTATGTGTTTAGCAGAAATTATGGTAAATCACGCGGAGCGTGCACTTAACCAATCGGCGGATCGGCTGTGCACACCGGATCGACGAGGGCCGGTGCAAGGTTGCGCGATTCCCTGAATTCCTGAGATATGCACCTGCTGGTACGCGCACATGTACGCTCGGATTTCAAGTTCAAGACAGACAACCCCGAAACCAAATGCGGATATTTGCGATAGATACGCATGTACGATCGGGAATTCATATCTGCTTCAGCAACATCGTTTGCGATATCTTCTAATTGTGATCATAATTGCGATTTCAACGTGTGCGCTATATGCACAGAGATAATTGCAATACCTCGACGCGGCGATATTAATTCCGTCTGAAAATGAGTTTCTATCAAATATTTATTATATGTATACATAAAGAAACGTAATGAAAAAAATATATTTTATATACCTGTATTACATATATATTATTATATATATATATATGTAATAATTATTCAACTGATAATAATAATTTTTTTATAGTTTGCATTTATTTTATATATAGATAATAATAATTTATATATATATATATAAATATTTTATATATATATAAATTATTATTATCAGTAATCTCCGAAATTTTCAATGGCCTTTTCGTATCGTATAATTATACGTAATATATATATATATATATATTACGTATAATTATACGATACAAAAAGGCCATTGAAAATTTTGGAGATTATTTATTAAAAATATTTGAAGCAACAGCGAAAGTGCAGTTCGCACGCAAAGTTCGATCGGTTTCACGGTAATTTGACGATGGAAACCCTGGCCGAGACTTCACGGTCGAGTCGCTTTTATCGGGGTGGTTCGCCCCCTCGCAACCAATCGGCCCCGACGACTCTTCCAACCCCATAACTACGGATGCAATCTGCCAGAAACAGGCTTCCACGAGGACTCCGTAGCCACTTATCGCTTACGGGGCGCGTCCGCGCAAACAAACCCATAAATAAAATACGACGTAAGCTCTTCGACCAGCGGTAATGCATCGCTTTACTCGCCACCGCGCAGATATTAAATTGCGACTGACCTAGTTGAGATTTTTCGAGAGCTCCTCTCAAGAGAAAGAGATGGAAAAATTATTAGAAAAATTGAACGCAAAGCGCGTCGAACGAATCGTCGATAAATCACCGTTTGAGAGACTCGGACTTTTCGAATTGGATATTTCGAAACGATAGATTCGCGACAGAAATAAAATGTCGGAGCAACGACCCGAGAAATTTCGGTCGCAAAAGTTGTATCTACGATATAAAAAGGCGACAAGATCACATCAATATTGTCCGAACTACATTTTTCAAACCGTTGAACAATTTTCGTGTGGATATCTGTCATGGGTCTCAAGATAGGTAAGATTAAAGTCGATTTTATAATATTTGTGATTTAAAGTGTTCTCAAGTTTCTCGATATTTAAGAGACAACTTTTAAATTATGCCGCGCTATATATTTTTTTAAATTCTTCATTATTATAGAATGATTGTTAAATCATATTGTAGGATGATAGAACGAGGTTAAAGAAAAATAGTCATTTGATGCAATATTTATATCTGAAACTAATAATTTTCAAAGCGAGATTAAATCAATTTAATTTTCTTTTGAATACATTTTTGACAGATTTTTCGATAGATTTCATTCAATTTAACCATGCAGAAATCTATGACAATCTATTATCACTTCAGTAGCAAAAATAAAATCATCGAAAAAGTTATTCTATGCTGAAAATTTAAATCTCTTCGAAAGTCGTGTATGTGACATATAGTGCTATGAATAGAATGTACATATAAAACAGTTTGATGCATTTTTTTTAAATGCGTATCCAATACAAGATACATGAATCGGATCTGCAAACCCGTTACTGTTTAACAATCCAATAAAAAGTGACAAATACGCAATAATAATACGCAATATTTTTCTTACGTTATTCATATTTATCGTAGCATTTAGAGTCGAGATAAATAAAATTCAAAAAACAAAAATAGTGTCGTGTGACTAGCTAATAAACACAAACAACGGTCATATAAACAGAATGCATGATGGCTTATACTGGATATATGTAACAAAATAAAACAAACCCGAGAATTACAGCGAACTACAGACAAATCGAACGACCAAATATAATTTTGTGTTATTCAGAGTAGTCGTTATTCGAGCTTCGTAACTTTTTATCATCACTGAGCTTTGCGGAAAAGCCAATGCATATGTATACCTCACGACAAAGCTCCCATATTCATCCTATATCTCTCAAATTTTCCGACATTTCAATATTTGCAACGTATATTTTATTTTCGATTTAATTACTATCAATTTTATTCTATATTGAAAGTTAATCGGATTAATCCGACAAAATTCAAGATTTTTTTAAACACTCAGTGTATGTCGCGACAGGTATTTTAAATACAAACTGCGTTCTTTGAGTATATTTCAAGTCCTCTAATCTTCAAAATTTGCTTCAGTTGTTACGGATAATCAAGTCTCCGCGAATTGTTACGCAATTCTCGTGCTTCGCGTATCGAGTGGAACGAAAGATCTGCTTTCAGCTGGAATAATCGCAGTTTTTACCTCTTTCTCTCTCGGTTAGACCCGGAGGAACCGGTGCTTTTCGCGAGAGCTCAACGTCAAACTTTGGCGGCTCGTCACAAAACTTTCGAAACATCGTGTAGCGAGTCCTGTTCGGATAACCGAGCTAACTTGCATCCCGAATGTCCGCCGGGAAGGCACGGAATATTAAACGAATGCAGAGAAGAACGGAACTTCTTTCTCATCCGGCGCGTCTTCATCAAGAGCGTCTCAAAATGCAATGTTCGTACGTTATTCCGGTTATTCGTCCGAACCTTCCAACTTTTTCCAAGCTAGTCCCGCAACGGGATCGGAATCTTTCGCTATACCCTGTCTGACGCAAAGTTTTTCCATCAGGCATGTCGGACCTCGCGCAAACTACAACGATACAGCGCGAGGGAATAA